TAGGTCCACAATATATTGGGATCATATTTCCCAGATTGCTGCTACCCCCTACATTTTGGGGGTCAGAAATCCAAATCCGTCGAAAAAAAAGTATGTTTATTTAGGGGAAGTACGTTATATTACTTATTTCTATTTATTTCATTAAAAATAGCATTTAAATAAAGCATTAGAATTCCATGCAATTAGTTTATCTATGTTAAATTTAAATACCTTCCTTTTATTGTTTAAGTCGCAGATATTTTCTTCCCTTTTTAATACTTGAATCAGAAAAATTAAATTTAATATTATCATCATGATTACGAAGCAAAGATCCTCGGGGAAATTATTATTTACCAAAATTGCATAATTTTTCTTTTTTAAATTGTGCAATTTTTTTAAAGATAGTTAAATCATCAATAAATCTAAAAACATGTTCAATATCAAAAGTATATTTTTTTTCATATAAGGCGTAAAAATATGTTAGCTAGGATTGACAAAAAATTTATCGTTTTTTTTTAGTTCATCTCATCAAAAAAGATATTAACTGTACTTAGCATTAATCAACATGAAGATGGCATAACTTTCTTTTTATTTCATTTAATACATATTACCAATTTAATTATGCATAGATATCAATAATAATAAGGCGATTTTTACGGTTCACCAAAACAAATAAGTATTGTTTCTCCCTTAACTCTGCTTTTTAGAACATAGATTATTTATATCAATTAATACATATTACTAACATTACAGCTTTAAATAAGCATCACTGTAGTCAATAAAAGTATGGCGATTCTTTACGTATCTTCTACACAAATAAGTACCTTAAGTCCATTAATTTTGCTTTTTAGTATCTAGCTTATTTCCTTTATTTCAGCATGCGTATATTTCCTTAAACCTGATTGACACCAATAATAGTATAAGGGGGCGGAGCCCTCTAGTTTTTAAAATATTTGAAAAATTAAATCGTCTGCAGTTAAGTTTGAAACAATGGTGAACCCTTAACAAATCAGACAATTCTGTTCCATTTTTCGTTCATTTTGCTCTCACAGCTCGTCGTAGAATGTTCTAATATGCACCATCACCTTCCTCGTGCTTCGAACTATCTGTATTGCAAATTCCATCACTTTCAGTTGGATGGCTTATGTTGAAGGACACACAAACAGACATTAATTTATATATAGATCGATATATCTCGAGGAATTGAGCTTGTTTCTTAATCATGAAGATAACATTGATTTAAATTTTTGGATTTAAGTATTACGAAAGCAGATACAATCGACGTGGTTGACCTTTATGATAAAGGAAATAATTTTAAGTGTGTAAACATACTAATTGCACGGAGTTCCAATATTTTCATAAACAGTTTTGTTAACAAATATAAATATAACTATTTAAAATTTTTTAAATATATGTATTAAATATCACGAATTTGAGCTTTAAACCTACCTACGACTGGAGCTTTGGCGAAACATAGTAAACCATATGGTAAAAATCTGGATGCCATTGCCATGCTTTGTTTATCTTTATCAATGCTGTCATAGATCATTCCCGGAAAAGTAGATCTCACAGCTCCTGATACAAACCCATATATCATGACTGCTATCAAAGTCAGAATGAAGTTGTAAGACCATTCTATGAACTCAGAATCAAGTCCTAAGATAACAAAGCACAAAGCAGCATAGTTGGCCCTCGTCATGAACTTTCGATCAACAACCCAGTTTAAGCTTAAATTGCCAATCATTTCAGCAACAGGAAGGAACATCACAAAATACAAAGACAAATCAGGATGTATCCCTTTGTCTATCCCGAAATCCATGATTACTGCCCAGTTTAATGTGTTCACAAACGCGTGTAAACTATTAACTATCATTATACAGTAAAATGCGGGATCTGTAAATAAATGTTTTAATTGCCACGACACTGGTTTTTTGTTGTTCGCTTTGGGTGTTTTTTTGTTAACAGCCCTCAATTCATTCTGGTTTTTACATTCGATTTCATACTCTGTTCTACAAAGTTCCGAATCATTATCTTTATTCGGTGCATGTTCTTCGAATTTGATTTTTTCAGAAAAGCGCACCAGTTCCACGTCTGAAGACCGCTGAAAGTCTTTTTGTTTCTTCTCAATTGGAAAGTAGTGAACTTGTTCACTGTTATTTAATTTTGATAAAGTTGATAAATTCTTTTCATTTTGATCTATACAAAACTCGTGGTCCTTTACATTCGGAATATCTTCTATTGATTTATCATTTGTGTTTGTTTTCATATGTTTGTCAATAACATTAATTCTCGCAGATTGCAGTTCGCCATTTTGTTTCTCTTCGTCGGAAACAAAACCTAAATTTTCGAAATGAGTGTTCGTTTCTGAGATTATGGAAACATCAGGAACTGGCTTTTCGTGTTCTTTCGGCTTAGATACAAGTTTTATTTCCTCATTTCTCGGGTTCTTTAAAACTATACACGCAGGAACGCAGTTAAGAACGATTGCAGCGAGAATCAAGAACATTCCAGATGCGCCATATTCATCAACTAGATACTGGACTACTGGCGACATTACTACAGCTCCTAAACAGCATCCAGCCATGTTTATTCCATTGATCATATTGAAATTTTTGTTGAAATGTTGTCTTAAGATTGTTGGCAGCAATGTATGAGCAAAAGCAAATCCAATACCTTGAAAAGAGAAATTAATTATTTATAACTGGTCCCTTTTAATTCATATCTTATACTAAAGATAAAACTCTCTATGCATATGGTGTTCTCTGAGTTCTTGGTTTTAATACAAAATTGCTTCGACAGATGGCGTTGTAAGTCACTTCTGCCATTTTTTTCCTACGGGTTCATGTTTATTCCTCCTATGATATGAGTCCTATCACTACATATGATTGCGGCTTACAGTGGATTCATTGAAAGTATCATTATGAAATTTTCACACATTGAAAGATTTCAAAAATTTGCTTTGTGTTTTTTTGTTGTTTTCCTCTTTTTTACAGGTTAAATACTTGATGCGCCATCTGTCTTAATATTTTTAACGATAACTTTTGCGCAAAATAAATACCCGATCCCGAAAATTCGCAATCATGGGAATTTGCGCAACTTCAATACGGAGCCAAGTCAAACCTTATTACTGGGCATATTAATCACTTGAGTATACGATATTAAAGTTATACTTTAAAGGAAATAAGACTTAAATTAATACCTTTATACTGCTACAGAAAATTTACACTACATCATGATTTAAAGTGCAACTACAATGTTTAAACAGCCAAAATGAAAATGATCCAGAAAATGTTTGATTCAAGATGCATAAAAAGTTCACATATACACATAGAATTAACCACTCCGGCCATAGCTTCTTAGTATTCGAACACATCTTTACATTGCTCTATATTCTTTAAGAATATTAACGGCGAGACATAGTATAATATAAGCATGAAAAGAAGAACACTATTAAATTTGTTCAATAGATGGCAGCAGGTCCGAAACAGAAAAAATAAAAAAAGCTTCGACCCATTTGCAGCTGATATGGAATCTTGATTAGTTTCGAAAATATTTTTATATTTAACTCCATGCATCTTAAAAATATTATATAGTACAAATTAGATTCTTTACGTCTTATTCAGTGTTTTTACCAGAGAAAGTAATTGGGAATTGAATTGCAAATGAAAATCTAATATGTGTTCTACTTGATAGGGCATCAGTTCTTCGAGCTAAGTGTAATTTTATAGTTAATACTTTTTCCTTTAATAGAACATCAGGTGCCTATTAATACAAAGCTTGAGTTTTTTTTTAGTTTTTTTTATTGAATGGATCAATAGTTTTTCTAAAATATGAATAATTTAGAAATTTAAAGATTAAAGATTTTCATTGAATAAATATAATTCCTTTGACATATCTCCTTCTAATGTATGTACAGATTTACATACATACATACATATATATACACCTTTATATATATATGTGTGTGTGTCTGTGCGTATATCTACAAAAAATAAATAAATAAAACATTTTAGAATTACACATTTTAAACTTTTTATTACCACATATAAATTTTTAAAGTGAATCAGGTTAATTGTATATGGTAAAAAACTAAAAAAGAATGAGTTAAAATGAAATGCAATATTTTACCCCTCACCAATTATACGCACCAATCCATGTCCAAGAACTCCTTCCCAGCAGACAGAACGAAAAAACTCTTGCCTATGAGATTTTAAAAAAAGAAATCTCAATCTTTTTGGAGTTAAGTACTTATGTATCTGGAAGCCCTGTTTCAAAAACAAATCAACAAAGTCTTCCCGATTAGATCTAGTCAAAGCTTGCTGAAAAATCATTTTATCCACCTACCAAAAAATAATATCTTTATTAAAGGATATATCAGCTATACAAAACAGCAAAATTTAGTAAATGATTTTCTGACTTTTCTAGNCCTTTATTGAACTTCTCGTAGTTTCGAGGCTTTAGTTTCTTGTATAAGAAAACACAATGAAAGGAAACACATAACAAAATCTTTTTTGACTAAATGCAACGTCCCTCAAACCATAAATCGAAAGCGAAATTAGAGACTACGCATTTATTAATATAGGATATATTTATTAATATAGGATTATAATAAAGGACACGTACTAAATAATAAAATATAACATCGAATTTTAGAGCATGCTTTTAAAATTATGAGGCCTTTGTATGTTGCTAAAAACTATACTAAAATTTAATCAATTTATTTTATACATGGCTTTACAAAAAACGGACCACTTAAAATAACTTTTGATCTAATGATCGGATCTTAACTTTCTAGGACTCAATCTTAACGGCTCAAATATGCTAATTAATATGTCCAGAAGTTATTTAAATTTAGGATATCGGACACAAAAATGTACTTTTTGTTTATAAATGTAACTATTTTTTGGACAGCTTCGGATTTCTGACTCCAAAAATATAAGGGATAGCCGCAATCTGAAAAATATGGCCCCAATAGTTTGTTCAGGAGAAAGCTCCTAAGTTTAGAACCTTTAATGTCAATTTTACTTTTTGCGTATTTCGCTGTAACTCGAGAACCTTTCAAGCGAATTGAAAATTTTTGCACACAATTATAAAATTAGCTTATCCAAATAAGATAATTCCATTCAAATAGTAAATTTTAGTCAATATTTATTATTTTTTGTTGAGGAAAAACTGTAATCGCACTTTTCTGAAGCAGTTTTCTTCTACGTCCGCATGTTATAGTTATCAGACTGTTCTGATTGGCCGTTAACTTTTGAGCCCAAGAAGGCTATAAATACCAGTAACTTTGTTTATCAGATGTTCTTTTCCCTTTCTACTTTCCCAATGTATGATCCAACTGTGTAACTCTCTGTGTTCTAATAAACATGTCTTTCTCCGATCCACTGATCTCGGAATTTCATTACAACAACAGCAGAGCGTGGTTCAAAAACACTATTTAGTTTATCTCTAAAAAAAAATAGCAGCTGAATAAAAGTAATTCAGGACTTTTTATTGCTCGAGGGTTTTTATTTTGTTTTTTCGAGCAATGGCAAACCTACTGCACGAAGAGCAGTTCGGTGTTGTTCCCTTTGATGGTACAAATTTTCCGATGTGGCGTAGACGTGTAGAAGCCATATTTTCTGCTAAAGAATTAGAGATGTTTTTAGAAAAAGAATCCGACCCAACCAGAGAAACTGAGGTCGTAAAGTCAAAGAAAGCATATGCCATGCTGATTTCCTTATTGAATGATCAAGTCCTTGCCGCCCTTCCCAGTGAGAAGTCAGCTGCAGCTGTATGGAAAAAGCTCCACTCAATTTATGAGGCGAAGGGTGCAGTCTGTCAAATACTCACCCGGAAGCGCCTGGCTACGATGCGGAAGAGCCACGATGTTTCCATGAGACAACACATTGATGATGTCAACAAGCTCGTGAGTGATCTGAGAATCTCCGGTGCTGAGGTGAGCAATTTAGACACAGTTGTTTACCTTTTGATGTCCCTGCCTCAGGATTATGAAAACGTTAAAGTTGCGTTAGAGAATCAACCGAATGAAAGTCTCTCTTTGGAATTTGTCTCTCAAAGACTAATAGACGCGGAAGCTTTGTTGTTAGATTTCAAAGGGGAAAGTAAAATAAAAAAAGATAAGTTTCTTTCGGAAAATGCGACTTTTTCCCTGAAATCACCTGAAAATTCCAATAATCGCTGTGAATTGTTCTGTTCATTTTTCAAGCGTAAAGGACACACTGCCAAATATTGTCGTAAAAAGATTACCTGTTTTAATTGTGGCAAAACAGGTCATATGAAAAGAGATTGCAAAAACTTAAAACAGAATGAATCCAGCTCATCGGCAGCATTTTCCTTTGTCATTGGAGATGTCATTTGCGACAAGTTTATCATTGACTCGGGAACAACTTATACTGCGCATGCGTGAGNGACTCCCAAAATATAAGGGGTAGCCGCAATCTGAAAAATATGGTCCCAATAGTTGGTTCAGGAAAAAGCTCCTAAGTTTAGAACCCTTAATGTCAATTTTACTTTTTGCGTATTTCGCTGTAACTCGAAAACCTTTTAAGCGAATTGAAAATTTTTGCACACAATTATAAAATTAGCTTATCCAAATAAGATAATTCCATTCAAATAGAAAATTTTAGTCAATATTTATTATTTTTTATTATTTTATTTATTAATGGTCTAAAAATATTTATTTGTAAGGTATAAAAATTTTTGCATCATTTTAAAGAATATAATTTTACTAGGCAAAATACGAAATGTGTGCAAAATCGGTTGAATAGTTCATGAGAAGTCGAATTTTAAAAATCCTACTCTCTTTAAATTCAATTTCTCAGGAACTATTCAGCCAATTTCACACACCTTTTGAGTTTTGCCATTTGTCTTAGAACGTGAAGATCCCCTCCATTAAATCAAAAGTTATTCAGAGTGGTCCGTTTTTTTTTCGTGTGTTTTATCCAAATTTTGCTGGCTGACTGCCCTTAATATACATAAATTTCCAGAATTATTGCTGAAAAAATTATCAGGGATCAGTAATTAGTATTTCAGAGAGGGAAAAAAACCTAAACACTAATAAAATCTTATGAATCACTGATAAAAAAGGCGGACTCTGAGAAACACTGAATAAATGTTTGAATAACTAATTTATAATAAATAAACTGCCGAAGATAGAAATACAATGCATGTTAACATGTTCCAGAACACATTTTTGAGACACGGATTGAAACAAACAAATCAATTAATGAAGGAATTGCAATACTTTTACTATTTTTATACAGGAATCAAGCTATATTCTTTCTTACTAAGCAGACTAAAATGGCTATTCTTTTCATAAGCATTAGTCAATTGCATCATTAGTAATCGTCTGAAATAAATGTCATTTTTCGGTCTTTTATATTTTTTTTCTAACTATTACTTTAATCAGACAGTTATTTCAGCGATCCACTAATATACTATCAAAATAAATACCAATTGCCCTTCTTCTTTTGCCATGACAGCCCTTTTTAGGCCTGAGTGTTCCTTAGAACCTTTCACCATTCTGCTCTTTTATTTGCGATTGTTCTCCGGTTAGTAATTCTTAGGAATTTGAAATTCTCATCCAATCAATTAAGCCATCTTAGGCCTAACTCTAATACTTGTTGGAATCGATTTGTAATTGAAGATTTAAAATGTCGAGGAAGAAAGTTCTATTCGACATATGCGACCCTCAAGCTTA